GACAAACCCTGGCAAACTTACCTTTTCATCCTCCTGGGACTCAGCACCCCACAGCAACCCAGTCCCCCAAAACTACAAAGATGGAAACAGGAGTGGAGTGTCCACTCTGACTCCAGCCTGACAGCAATTAGCAGGGCTCTTATAATTGAAGGCAGTTGTGCCCACGTCCTGGCTCTGCCGCTCGTTAAACCTGACTCCCAGCACGAGAGTTAAGGAAGCTGATGACTAGCTAGAAGCGTGGAGCTGGCAGCTTGACAGAGCATCTCGGTTGCTGGGCTCTGCTACCAGGCCTCCAGGGGCTACAGCGCTCTGAGCATGCCAGGCCGCAGGACAGCATGCCGGCCCAGTCTCCTGGGTCTGTACCGTGCAAAGCTCCTGCTGGGCTGGGTCCCCTCTAGCGGGCACAAGGAAGGAGGTGCTTCCAGCGCTTGCCATGGTGCAGAACCCTGGGTGGGGGCTGGCTGCCAGGCTTACACCAGGCACTGGGGAGTGTGGTGGCCTGATCTTCCAGGATGATGAGGAAGGGGGCTGTTCCAGGGTGATGCTGGTCCTTGAAAGGCCCCTCTTGGAGCCCTCACCCCCAGGGCTGGTTTTGTAGCTGGCTCTGGCAGCTGAGCTGTGCTGGGATCAGAGGCAACCGCACAAACACGGGGTCTCCCTGGGCTGGCTGACAGCCTGCCTGCTGGGGGGGCATTGGGGCAGGCCCAGCTGTGCCGTGGGCTTTTGGCTCCATGTCACGCAGCCCCCTGGGATGCAGGGCAGGGCTACAGCACATGGGAGCACAGAGGCAAGTGATGCACCGGAGGGCACTGCTGGAGGCAGTGGCAGAGTGGGGACTTGAAGGCCAGACCAAACTGTTGAACTCTCCTGGGGACTCCGCTGGGGAAAAGGGGGATTCTGCAGCCCCAGCAACTGGAGAAGAGCTGTAGCCTGAAAGGGTGGGTCATAGATTCATAGATTCATAGATTAAGGGTCGGAAGGGACCTAGTAGATCTTCTAGCCCGACCCCCCGCCAGGGCAGGAGAACAACAAAAAACCCCAAAAAGAGAAATGGGACTCAAACGAGTCCAGCCAGGTAGGCATCCAGCCTCTTCTTAAAGACCCCCAGGGTAGGGGCCAGCACCACTTCCCTTGGAAGTTGGTTCCAGCTCCTAGCCGCCCTAACCGTGAAGTAGTTTTTGCGGATGTCCAATCTATACCTCCTCTCCATCAACTTGTGCCCATTACTCCTTGTTATGCCAGCGGGCGCTAGGGGAAACAGCGTCTCCCCCAAACCCTTCTGGTCCCCCCTAGTGAGTCTATAGACGGTCACCAGGTCCCCCCTCAGCCTTCTCTTGTGGAGGCTGAATAGGTTCAGGTCCCGCAGTCTCTCACTGTAGGGTCTGCCCTGTTGTCCCCGGATCATGCGGGTGGCCCTCCTCTGGACCCTCTCCATGTTGTCCACATCCCTCTTGAAATGGGGCGCACAGAACTGGACACAATACTCCAGCTGTGGCCTGACCAGCGTCGCGTAGAGGGGGAGGATCACCTCCTTGGCTCTACTCGAGATGCACCTGTGGATGCACGACAAGGTCCGGTTAGCCCTGCCAACCATGACCTCGCATTGTCGGCCCATGTTCATCTTGGAGTCAATAATGACTCCAAGATCCCTTTCTGCCTCCGTGCTCTCGAGTAAGGAGTTCCCCATTGTATAAGTGTGTCCTGGTAGCCAAGGGAGCCCGGAGGGCTTGTGGGGTGGGAGGTCATTAGCCTGTGGGCAGTGCTGGCCGGATGCTACCGGGCCTCACTCTGCAGCACTTGCCCTGGGTGTAGCCAGTGCCTGGAGCCTTGTCTGGCACCAGCTTGGCGTGCATGTGCTAGAGGGGGTGGTGTCTAACCTGCCCTCTTTGCTATCATGCAGCACTGATCTCGCCTCCCCCTTCTCCCCAGAGCTCAGCTTGGCCTGGATGCAGAGCACCTCGGGGTGCTCGGTGCTAACGGCCGCATGTTGCACCCCAGCAGCGGCTGCATCCCGGAGGAGGAATGCCGGGGCCTGGGTGTGAGCTGCCCTCAAGCCATGGTTCACAGGCGATGGGAACTCGGAGCTCTGCTCTGAATCCCCAGCACCGCAGGTCTCCGGAGCCCGTGGGCCTGGCTGCGTGCAGGGAGGGTAGGGGAGACGCTGGGATTGTGAGCACAGATGACTCAAAGCTTGTGAACTCCAAGCAGCAGGAGGCCGCGGACCCGCCAGACGACGGCCCTGGCACGGGGCAGCACCGGGGAACCCGGAGGTGACTTTGCAGCTCAGACTCCTAGGCTCTGCTAGGAACCCTGCCAGCCCCCAAACAGCCCGGGAGGAGCTGCAGCTTGAGGCCAGCCAGCCATGGAGCCACCCCCGTGTCCCTCTGGCTTGCCTGTGAGGAGGAGACCCAGGGGTCCAGTGCCAGCACTGCTGGGCCTCGGGCACCTTTGCAGCCTGGCTCCCGTGCCCGTCACATGGCGAGACGCCGAGACCTCTACTCACCAGCTGGGCAAAGCCCAGATTCGGGGCTGGGGCGTCTTGCAGACAATCCTGTGCATAGCCCTGGCTCCCCACTCCTGCCCTGCAAGGTGCCAGCAAAGCCTGGGGCAGTGGGTCCCATACAGGCCCTCAGCCCAAGCGCAGGGTGCTGTGGCTTGTGCTGTGTCCCAGGGCTGTAGGCAACCTGCTGGGTGGTGACCGGACATCGGGGGGCACCCAGCAGCACCATGCTGAGCCCAGGGTCAGAGGCACTGCTCCAGCCTGGATGTGCTGCTGGGAGCTCTGATGGGGATTTCCCCCTCTGCAATGGGGCAGGTCCCATAAGCTGTTGGGCACAGAGCAGCGCAGCTGCGGCTGCCTCCCCTGACGGCCCAGGGCAGAGGGGCCCTGGGCAGCTGGCGGCATGGGGAAGGGCACCTGGGCACCCCTTGCTCCCCGAGGCTTCCCCCGAGAAGAGGTTTCCTGCCCCCTCTCCGCCTGCACTTCCACGGCGCAGGTCCAGGCTGGCACCTGCCTTCCCCCATCCCTTGGGCGAAGGAGGTCCCCGGGGCGGGATGCCGCATTGCCCACAGAGGGGCAGGGGGCCAGAAGCACCATCATCTGTTTTCTGTTTGCTCGAGGCCATCTCCTGCGGGCAGAGGGCAGCGGGAAGAATGGAGTGTCCTTTGAACAGGCTCCAGCAGCGACAGGTGGCCACAGGCACCGCGCGGCGGCGGTGGCCGGCGGGTGTAAAGGATACTGCTCTCCCAGCGCTAATCCAGCTCTGTTACACCCAGTATAGAAGGGGGCCGCTCCATCCCCGCCCGCTCCACAGCCGCCCGCTGCTGCCTCGCCAGGTCTGACCGCCGCGCCCGGCCTCTCCAGGTAAGCAGGCCGCGGCCTCCGCTTGCCAGGCGCCCACGACTGCGTCACACCGGGGCGCTGCCTGCCCGATCCCAGGCACAAAGGGTAGTGCTATTTTTGCAGGGGCAGCTTGCCAGCCTGGAGCCCCAGCAGCTGCCCCAGGTGCAGGGACCATGGGGGTGCCTGGCGCCTGCCGCAGAGGGGCACCTGCCCCAGCGAGCACCACTCCCAGTTAAACCAGCAGGAGCCATGGTGGAGCCAGCACTGGCTGGCATGGCTGTTCCCAGTCCAGCCAGGAGGGGCTGTCCCTGCCCCGGGACAGTCACGTAGCAGAGCCGGGGTTGTGTTTCAGGGGCACCACGGTGTCCGGTTGGTGCCTGCTCCTGTCCCTCTTGGGGCGGGGATGGCAGGGCAGGGGTAGGACTTGCTGGCCAGGCGGCTGGGAGAAAGGAGCCCCGTGGGCGCGCTGCAGAGCCAGGATCCAGGTAACGGCGGCCTGCAGGGCAGAAGGCAGCAGGGATGTGCTGAGAGGGGCTCGCTCACCTGCCTGTTGTTCTTCATGGGTGCATGATCCTGCCTGGCGTGTGGTGCCCGGGCAGCGCTGGGGCTTCCTGAGGCTTGATGTGCCTGGAGGCAGCAGGTCACACCCCAGTCGTCGGGGCTGGGGTCACCGGTGATTCCTCCCCCCACCCCCTGCAGGTGCCTGGGCCAGGGGGCAGCCAGAGCTGGGCACGGGTTTGCTTGCAGATTTGGTGCCCAGTGGTTCCCGGGGCAGCAGTGTGAGGAGTGTGGGGGCCCACACTAGGAAGCCGAGACTGGCTGTGGCAGAGGGGACTGATGTCTCTATGCTCCCAGGGTTGCCCGTGGCTGGGTGGGGGGTCCTGCTCCCTTCCCCCTGCATCAGACACTTGCAGGTTTCCACGCACAGAGCCCAGGGGCGGGTAAGCCCTGCCACCTGCCCAGGGATGGCTCTGGTCCCTCGAGCTGTTTTCATCTCCCCTGTGTGGTTGGGCGGGCGGGTGAGAGGGGACGTGGCCTTGGACTGGCACCGTGGCCTCTGCCTCCTGCCCAGCCCCAGGGGCCAACGTGAGAGGCAAGTGCTGTCCTGGCCCTGCCAAGCTCGGCCGTGGCAGGGCGCGATGGTGCAGCCTGGGAGCCACGTGGGACGTCCACAAGGGCCACGGGACCGAGGGGCTGTGGCCACGGGGTTAAAAGCGAGCCGGGTGGCCGGGATGGAGGCAGATCTGGTGGCCGCGAGCAGGGACTGGCACAGCCCCGCGAGCCACCGCTTCTTTCCGCTCTCGTGCAGAGCTGGAAGAGCCACGCCAGGGTCCAGAGGGCAGCTGCGGCCCCATCACAGCACGGCCCCATGGAGCACGACACGGGGCCGAGCAGCCATCCTGATGCCGGAGGGGGTGAGGGCAAGGACAAGGGCCCTGTAGGGGCAGAGGGCAGCGCTGGGCAGCCCGTCCCTGCAGCCATGCAGCCCACGGACAACCAGCCTGGAGAGGCAGGAGAGGGCAATCCTGGGGCCCCTGCCCCCCCAGCCGTGCAGCCGGCGGAGAGCGAGCCCGGAGAGATGGCAGAGGGCAGCTCTGGGCAGCCGGTCCTCGCAGCTACGGAGCCAGAGGAGAGCAAGACCGAAGGGACAGGAGAGGGCAGTGCTGGGGCCCCGGCCCCCCCAGCCATGCAGCCGGCGGAGAGTGAGCCTGGAGAGCGCCTGGCAGGCAAGGAGCAGGGGGCCGAGCGCCTGAGCCTGCTGGAGCGGCCGAACCTGCAGCAGAGCTACAGCTGCCCCGCTGCTCCCCAGAGGTAACGCCGGTTCCTGCCAGGGCTGGGCTGGCAGGGCGCAGGGCCTGCTCCTGGGGACCCTTGTGCAGGCTCCCCTTGCCTTGCCCTGGGCACCGCAGCGGGGTGGGCTGGGGGGCAGCGTGCGGCTGCGGTAGGTGCTCCAGGCTGTGGTCCTGCCTGGGCCCAGCTCTGCCAGGCTCCATCCCACAGCTTCTGCAGGCTGGCCCCTTCCACGCACCCGCGGGGCTGATTGAGGGGCTCCTGGGCTGGGAGGCCCCCGGCTCACCTGGCTGCCTCTTGCTTCCAGCGTAGAGGAGGAGCCCGGGCCAGGAGCTGCCCAGGCCCGTGCAGCGCAGGTGGAGGAGAGGCCTCCTACCACGGCAGCCGACGCGATGCCTGGAGACCTGGACACGGTGGAGGGGCCCTACCTGCCTGCGGATGCTCAAGAGTCTCCAGAGATGCCCAGCCCAGCCCCTGAGGGCGATGGGGGGGACAGAACATTGCCAGAGCCCCCCAGCTCCACAGAGACACCCCAGCCGGCTCTGGGCGACAGCCCTGCCGAGAAGCCCCCTGAAGAGGAGGGGGGAGCCGGACCCTTGTCCCCTGAGCTGGAGCCCCCGCCCAGCCCCTACCTCACGCCAGACTTCGGGAAAGAGGACCCCTTCTCCATCCTGGGTAAGGCGGGCAGGCTGGAGCACAAGGCAGGGGGTGCCGTTGTCCTGGCCTGTCTGCCCAGCCCCTGCCCCCCTGGGAAGGGGGCTGATCCTGGCCCCGGGCGCCAGACACAGGTTGAGCCTGGGCAGCTCTGGGCATGTGGTGCTCAGGCTAGGCACCGTCTGCATGGTGCGGGCTGGTGCATCCAAGGGGGTGGGGGCTGCAGTACTGGGGGTGATCTGGGTAGGATGGGCCTGGCATGAAGTGCAAAGCCCCACGCGGGGCAGGGAGCCCAGGTGCTGCAGGGTGCAGGTGGGGAGCAGAGCGGCAAGGACATTTGGGTGCCAAGGAGACTGGGGAGCCCTGGAGAGGCCTAGCAGGGCGCTGGGGCTGAGAGCTGCAGGCAGGCACCGATCCTGGAGGACTCAAGGCTGATGGCCTGTGTGGCTGTGCATGGGGGGCTCCGTTTGCTGGGGGGAGCGAGGTGCCGGGGACCGCGGAGCCAGGACACGCCGTACCTGGCCTTGGCCACTAGATGCCAGCCTCTTGCCATGCTCGGCCGGCCGGGCGCGAAGAGGGCGCCCAACCCGCCTTGCCTCCACAGATGACATGCCCCCGCCACCAGCCCCCTTCACCCACCGCATCGTCACGCTGAAGTCGGCCAACCCCAGCACCATGTTCAGCATCAATACCAAGGACATCCTGGGGGGGTAAGAGCCGGCTTGGGGGGACAAGCCTGTGGGTCCCACCTCTGGGGTGGGGTGGGCAGCGTTTCTGCCTCTGCCACTGCTTGGCTGCACGACCTTGGGCCCATCCCTTGACTTGGGCCCAGAGAGGCAGTTGATGCTGAGCTTGTGGGGCTCTGCTAACGTGTGCATGTTGCGTGGAGCCTGCACTGAGGGAGTCCCTGCAGGGTGGCGAGGTCCATGCAGGGTTACCAGACCCCCAGGCACCTCCATCCTGCTTTGCTGGAGGCTCTCAGCAGAGCAGAGCCCCTGGCAGCGCCTTGCTGCATGGGGTCAGGCCTGTGCTCCTGGGCCTCCAGCCTCCGCTCCCCTTGTGCCGTAGAGGGAAGTTCGGGGAAGTTCGCACCTGCACGGAGAAGCAGACGGGGCTCAAGCTGGCTGCCAAGATCATCCGGAAGCAGGGCCCCAAGGACAAGGTGGGTGCAGGCAGGGCCCGTGCTCCGTGCCCCCCGGCCTGCACACCTGTGCACGCGTGTGCACGGACAGACAGGCGTGACGGGGCGGGGGTCAGCAATGACCCTGCGGTGCCCGTCCTACAGGAGATGGCTCTGGTCGAGATCGATGTCATGAACCAGCTGAACCACCAGAACCTGATCCAGCTCTACGACGCCATCGAGACGCCGCGGGAGATCATGCTCTTCATGGAGTTGTGAGCAGCAGCCCGGTGCCGGGGCTGGGCCTGAGGATGTAGCTGCCCATGGCCAGGGCAGCCAGGGGTGGGGGTATCCTCAGGGTGGGGGTCAGGGCAGCCGGCACTGCCAGGGTAGCAGGGCCCAGAGGCCCCCCCCTGGCTTGAGTCCTAGTGCTGCCGCGACTCCAGCTGGGGGTAGCACCGGCTCCGTCTGCCTCCCAGCCTGCCCTGCCCTGGTGAGACGTTGATCTCTGCGTCCCGGCCCCTGGGGTCAGGATCGTCGCTGTCCCTGCACTGCCCCAGCTCCATCCTGCCTGCTCCTGGGCTCTCCCGGCCCTGCCCAGCTCGGCCCTCTGGGCCACTGCCCCCCACCCCCGGGCAGGCTGAGTCTCCCTCCCAGCCAGCGGGGTGACCGGTGTCTCGGGTGCCCGCAGCGTGGAGGGCGGGGAGCTGTTCGAGCGCATCATCGACGAAGACTACCACCTGACAGAGGTGGACTGCATGGTGTTTGTGCGGCAGATCTGCAACGGCATCACCTTCATGCACCACATGCGCGTCCTGCACCTGGACCTCAAGGTGCGGCAGGCCGGCCGCAGGGAAGGGCAGGGAGGCTGCGGCCCCCGGGGAGGGGGCAGGGGCAGGGGCAGGAAGCCAGGTCTTACCGCTGGGGTCCCTGTCCCTGCAGCCGGAGAACATCCTGTGCGTGACAGCCACCGGGCACATGGTGAAGATCATCGACTTCGGCCTGGCCCGCAGGTACCTACCCCTCTCCCGGCCCGTCTGGCCCGGGGGAGAAGGGCCAGGAGTCCGCCGGGTCCTGGGGGTGTCGGGGCTGCAGTTCTGCTGCCCTCATGCCCTGCCCTGGCTGGGGGAGCTGGAGCCGGAGTCCGGCATGGGGCAGCAGGGCAGAGCAGTTTGGGGGAGGATAATAGCAGGCTGGCGTGGGCTGGGGGCTCTCCCAGGGCAGAGCTCTTTCTGGGGGCCGTGCCGCGCTGACCCAGCACTGCCGCCTCCAGGTACAACCCCCGGGAGAAGCTGAAGGTGAACTTCGGGACGCCCGAGTTCCTGTCCCCCGAGGTGGTCAGCTACGAGCAGGTCTCCTACTCCACAGACATGTGGAGCATGGGCGTCATCACCTACATGCTGTACGTGGGCAATGCCTTCCCCTCTCCCCCTGCGGGGCTGGCAGGTGTGTGGGTGTGTGTGCGAGCGAGCGAGCACTGGGGCTTGCGGTCCATTCCCGGCTCTGCCACTGACTCACTGGATGACCTCAGGCAACTCTCCCGGTGCCTCATGGGTGGGAGGAGCTGGACCTGCCCCTCCTTACTGGGCACTCACCACCCCCTCCTTTCCCCCCATGCCCCCAGGCTCAGCGGCCTGTCCCCCTTCATGGGGGACAATGACACGGAGACCCTCAACAACGTGCTGGCTGCCAGCTGGTACTTCGACGAGGAGACTTTCGAGGGCATCTCGGACGAGGCCAAGGACTTCGTCTCCAATCTCATCATCAAGGAGAAGAGGTGCTGCCTGCCCGGGGTGGGGGGATGCAGGGAGAGCTCGGGTTGACCACTGGGGAGCTGAGAGCCACCGTGTGAGCCCGCTCCCGGGGTAGCGGTCAAGCTGTCCCTCCACAGGGGTCTCCCAAGGGTCATGGCCGTGCTCTGGGGTGCTCCTGCCTTCCCAAGCCAGATGTGCCTCGCAGCTGCCCACCGGCCCTGATAACCCCAGCAGGCTGCAGCTGGAGGGGGGTCACAGGGAAGGGAGCCCGGGGCTGGGAGTGCTCACAGAGCAGCTGGGCTCCGGTGCTTGCAGCCCAGGTCTGCATCGGGAGGGGTTCGGGAGCCCGGGGGGTCTCCTGGAGAGTCACCAGCCCTGTCCTGCCCGCAGCGGCCGGTTGAGCGCGGCTCAGTGCCTGAAGCACCCCTGGCTCAACAACCTGGCCGAGAAGGCCAAGCGCAGCAACCGGCGCCTCAAGTCCCAGGTCCTGCTCCGGAAATATGTCATGCGGCGGCGCTGGAAGGTGCGGAGGATGCCCGCCTGGGCAAGCAGGGGCAGCCTGCGAGGGGGCTGGGAGCTGGAGTCCAGGATGCTGGACACCGGCGTGGCTGGCGCTGCTCTGACGTGGCCCCTTTTTGCCCCACAAACAGAAAAACTTCATCGGCGTGTGCGCTGCCAACCGGTTCAAGAAGATCAGCAGCTCGGGGTCCCTGACGGCGCTGGGGGTCTGAGCGCGGGGCCGGACTGGCAGCAAGGGCCGCGGGGCAGCCACCTGCCACCTGAACTGTGCGTTGCCAAGCCCGGCCCTGGCTTCGGGGTGGCGGCAGTGGGCCGCCGGAGACGCAGGAGCTGCAAGCCCTGGAGAGAGGCTGGATGTGCCCACGCTGGCCCCCGCACATATCAGGCCTCCGCTGCTGTGAGTGCCGCTGCGGCCCCTTTTCTCCAGTCCCCGGGAGATGACTGCACTGGCGAGGCTGCTGCTCGGGACCCCTTCAGCCGGCACCGCTGGAGTCCTCCTCGCCTGGGAAGTTTTCTTCCTGCTGCCCCTAGCTCCTGGCCCCTGAGGCTGCAGCTGCCCTGGCTCCTATGGCGTGGAGGTCTCTGGGCTGGAGCTGCAAGCTCTCAGTGCCGGATCCCAGCGCTTGGCCTGCTTTGAGCCCCACCAGCTGCTAGACGCCGGCCCCTGCCCCGCCGCACCTGCCCTAGACCCCGGCTGCACCCCCAGGCAGGGGTCTGGACTTGCCGAGCTGAATCCCCTGGTGCTGCGAGATGCCTGCTCCTGCCGTGGAGAGCGGGGGGCCTGCTCGGGGTCCCCCTCCTCGCCCCCCCACCGGCTCAGCAGCACGGAGAGGGAGAGGCAAAGCCCCCGCTGCACCCACCGCACGCCCTCTGCTACCTTGGCACCACGGTCCCTGCTCCGGCCCGGGCGCCTGGCCCCGCTCCCGGGATAGATGCCTGCTACGTCTGGATTCAGGGTCCCGGGGTGCGGGAGAAGGCAGGTGTTGGGGCAGGGGCCAGCTCGGCCCTGGCCGCTCCCCTCCCGGAGACCGGAGCCGCAGTTCCTGCGCGCGAGCGCGGGGGGGGCAGGAAGGAAGGGCGGGAGCGGCGAGCGTGGACTCCAGCAGCATCCCCAGGCGGAGGCCGGGTGCGAATGAAGGAGGCTTTGTGCTCTCGCCGCACCCCGCTGCCCTCGGGCGCTGCCAGGGGGGCAAGGCACGCAACCTTCCCTTCACGCGCGCCTGAAGCGCCCGGGCGGCGGCCTAATGCGGACCAGCTGGGCGGCCGCTCCCTCGCGCACATGTGAGAGCTTCGCTCTGGTCCTGACCACCAACACACCGGATCCAGCGGCGGGAGGCAGCTGGGCCGCGGCCGAACGGACCCTCCGCCTCTCGGGCTGGTGCGGCTCCAGGGGGACCTGCCCTCCGGGCATGCCGAGCAGGGCCGTGGGCGTGGGGAGGAGGAAGGTGCTGGGGGACACCCCGCACACGCCCCTGGCTCTGCTTGTTGCCCCAGGCACGTCCCCCGCTGAGCCTGGCCTGGCAGCCGGGTTGCTGGCAGAGCCCGTGCAGCTTCATCGATGACGGGGAACTGTGCCCGCTCGCCCCAGCCCCTTTGCCCCGCTGCGATGCTGCCCTGCCCTCGGCCCGAGCGGAGCACGCGCCCCGTGTGTGCGCCCCCCCCGCCGCAGCACAGCATGGCCCTGCTCCTTCTCCGGAGAGACACCCCCGCGCTCTCGGCTTCATGTAAATAAATGTACAGGTCTGACAGCAAGCCCTGGGGGTGTCGGCTTGCGTCCGGCGGGGAGGGGGGTGCTGGCACTGCTTTCCAGGGACGCTGGCCCCTTGGGGACCCGCTCGGGCCTCACCGCCCTGGGGGGAGGCAGCGGAAATGGGGGCAGTCGCTGGGCTCGAAGCAGCACCTCGGCTTGTCCAAACTCAACCCCCGTGAGCTCTGCCAGGGCTCCTCTTGCCCCAGCAGCTCCGCGCAGCAGCAGGACAACCGTGGCCACGGCCGCGGCCGCGCAGGAGAGCTCAGAGTTTGCTCATGGCATGTTTCCAGCTGAGGTCCCGACCCGGGAGGTCTGCTGGGCAAGGCTCGGAGCCGCGGCCTCTCCTCCATCGCCCCACACCTTGCCCCCACTGCTCGGGGAAGCCGGCGGGAGACCGGCCTGGCACGGCTCGCCAGCACCCACCTCGCTCCTCTCCGGCAGGCTTCGGAGCCCTTGCACGTGAGCCGGGGCGTTCGCCCAGCACCCCTGGGGCTCGGGCAGACCCAGCAGGAAGGCAGGAGCCCCTGAACTGGGGGGTGGGGGGGGTGATTTCTGGGGCTGACGGCTGGGCCGAGCACGCCTGGAGGATCTCGGCCCAGCCACGGGCGGGAGTGTCCGCAGCCCGGACTTCCCCGTGCCCTGAACCGGCTCCCTGGGCGGCAGGTGGGGCCTGGGGGGCTGCATGGCCCCCGGCAGCTTGCAGCTCTGTGCCTGCCCGACCCTCGCTCGGCAAAGCGTCCTGCAGCCGAGCCCGGGGCTCAGTCTTGCTGCCAGTCCAGAGCACCAGGCTCTCCCTGCCTTTCTGCACGGTAACCCTCCCGCCTCCCCGCGGCCGTGCCCCACGGGTGCGTGCGAGACCCCCGCCACCCCTCCTGGCCGCGCGTGACGCTCGGGGCGTAGAGGCTGGTCTCAGACCTCCTCCATGCACAGGGCCCCGGGTTGCGGGGCTTGGTGCGGTGCGTGTTGGGCCCCTGCGGGGTGGAGCAGGGGGCGAGATGGGTTGCCCCCTAATAGCATTACCCAAGCTGCAGGCCTGCCGACCCCCTTGCCAGAGCCGGGGCGGGCGACTGTCCCCCCCACCCCAGCAGGCTCGGGGCCGCTGGCAGCCTCCACGATGGGAGCGAGACCTTTTCTGCGGGAGCCCGAAACCCGACTCCCGCCTGCCGTCAGGGCCTGGCCGCGGCCGCCCAGCTTGGCAGCGCCGCGTGCCCTGTCCCTTGCGCCGCGTCCCGGGGCGGGGGAGCGGGGCCGTTTCCCACAACTGGATCCAGCGGGGGAAGGCGAGTGAGTCAGGCCCCGGCGCTGCCTTCCCAGCCTCGCCTCCCTGGCCGTGTTCCCCCGCGGCCCCGGCACAGACCTCCGGGCAGGCAGCCGCCAGCCCCCTCCCCTGCCTCCCAAGCCCTGCGCCGTGAGCTGCTCCAGCTGGGAGGCTGCGAGCTTCCTCCCGACAGTGCCCGGGGGGTTCCTGGCAGCCAGGGTTCGTGTGTTCCCACTGCCCCG